CGGGGAGTTATATATTCTGGGAGAGGTATTTGATAAATAATCAAAAAGTGGTAAGTTAAAATCAGAGCCAAGGATCATGAGAGGTAATTGTCAATAATTCATTAGTTAGTAGAAATCTCGATAACTTTTTCAAGGGAGCGTATCGGCTTTTGTAGGTGGTGCGTTTGGTCGTCGATTTGGCTTAACTGGTGGCTCGCCCACGCGGGCTGGCACTATCATCAGATAGGGAAAATTTTCCTCTACCTGCTGGTGGTGTTGATAAGTGTGTGCGAGCTGCCGGTTGCACCGGATCGACGATCGGATGCATTGTTTGCAGGAGCTGGTGCTTCCCTTTGAAAAAGTAATCGAGAAATAACCATATTATCCTGTAATTGATATTACTATTTTTATATATCAATGAAATTACTCATGACAGAGTAACAGATGGGGAAGGACAATAGACACAAGTTGACACAATAAACAAGACAAGTGGGGGTTAATACACAAGACAAAATGACAAAATGACAAAATAAGTGACGACAGAAGACAAGACTGGGACAAAAATCAACCTTGAAAAAAAAAAAGAATGCGCAATTATATTATCAAAACTATTTGGATCAGCACAAAAACAACAGTGACCAAACGGGCACCATAGCCTAGGAACGTCTGTGTGTTGATTTAAAATAGAGGCTCATAGAAGCAAAATTGACCAATAAAAGGGGTCCAGTGTAGAGTTTAAGCAAGTGCTGCCACTGGATCACTACAAAAAAAAAAATTAGCTCAAATCCCATATGCTACGTGTTTTCGTTAATGCCGGATCGGCAGTTTTTTTTTTTTTCTTTATTAACGAGACTTTCAGCCTTAGGCTGGTTCATCTCTATGGGATCGACCGTACTATATGAATCCAGTGGTATCAGTACTATAGGAATCCGGCAAGAACAAATCCGTATTATAGGAATCTGAAGCAATACATTTCGAAAACTTTTTTGGCACCCCATGGAGCAGACTTGTGAGCTTTCGGAGTTCCCCACACCTGAGTCACTTCCGTAAAGGACATACACACCAGCTTTCTGTACCTTATGAATTAATATAAATCAAAACAAACATTATAAATAAATGTTATACCTGGAAATTATGTTGAAATCCGCTTACTTTTCTGCATGCAGCAAACAAGCTACAATGTGCTTGTATTTTGAAGTTCCAGCCTTGCAGGAACTCTAAAGCGCCCATTGCGTAACGTCAGTATAAATTCTCATATTTACAGTATGAGGAGTTTGGCCAGGGTGTGATGACTGGGTAACTTTATTAATCCATTCAATATCACAGTTCCTCCAACAGATACAAACAATATGGTTCACTGCAAAAACCGCATATCCTTCTTTGATCGGGTGGACGGATTCACCGGTGTAATCCAGTACATCGACAATTTTAATTTGGATCACACGTTTGGGATCTGGAATAAGCATAGCCTGTTATGTTATATCTGATTTGGATTTTAATTTTTTTTAATGTTCACTGATTTAACTTCAATGAATATATGTGCATATTAAAATAAACGTTATTGCTCACCATCAGTTTTGCGTTCCATTTGAGAATATCCTTATTTTATTTTTTTTTTCTTTTGGTTGGTTTTCGTCAATCTTGATCAAAGCAGTGTTCTAAACAGTTTTAGAACAATCAATTCAAAGCAACTTTGTTGAAAACACAACGTTTTTATCTCTTATGGTTCATGAGTTATGGTTTTTTTAAACAAGCAGGTTAGGGTGGCCACTAAAATCGGTTTTCTTTGAATATCTTTTCATAGGTTAATTTCTCGTTGAAACATTGTTCCGATTACATTTAGAACATTTGATGACGCATATTTTTGCTCAAGCAACTAGGTTACTATCTTTTTTGATAAGAAAGTTAAAGGCTATTTTCTTCGAAAAAATGGTTCTTTTCAATTGTCAATATCTCAAAATAGAGCTAACCGATTTTCAAATATTTAATTTGATTGGAAACATCTTTTTTCTTCATTTCTGGTAAAAAAAACTGCAAGAGCTTTTTCTGTTTACAGTATTTAATGTATTTAAAACAAAAGTAATATTTTTCCATGAACCATAAGAGATAGATATATGATGCGTGCGTATATGTGTGTGTGTGTTGGTGTGCATTGAAAAAGGCATTGTAAAGCTTCCTACAGTATACACCACAGATTAGAAACAGATATTTTCCAAAGAACACTTTACTTGTTATAAAATCGCATAACACATTAAAGCCTATCTGAAAGCCAACTTTTCTAGCTATCTTTTGGTTACTAAAGGATAGTGGGCGGATGTGTTCGATGCTTAGTCTAAATGTGAAAAAAGTATATCTTGTTATTTTTTTTATTCGAAACTGTCACTTTATACAGTGCAGACACTCTTTTTTACCATCTACTTGACGTGAAATAAGCCGAGAAACATTTCTTTTGAAGCAACCAAGTTGATAAACACATTATTTTTTGCTATATTTGAGCAAAACAGTAATAAGAACCATTACGATGTTTTTTTTTCAAAAATGTGTGATATCGCTACACTATAACAACCTTAAAAAATATGTAATCAACAGAACTGCACAAATCAATCAATTTAAGAAACTCTTAGCATGTAAAAATGATAAAAAAATATTGAAATAAAAAATATTAACTTTAATTTTTGAGGTTTTGGCCAGCCACCGGCCGCTGGTATCCTTATTTTCACGACCAAAACCACTTTAAAATTCGCTTTCCACTTCGCGCTTTGGGACGAAACAAAACAATCCCACTCGTTCAATTTTACTCAAAAATGAGTAAACATCCACTCACTTTCGTTAAAAGTGGAACTACTCTTAGTTACTGACTTTTGAGTAATGAATGCATTTGTCAAATTTAGAGTAACGTTTACTCAGTTCTGTATTTGGAAAAATAAGCGAAACTGAGTAAACGTTACTCAGTTCTTGTAAAATCAATATTTTTGAAAATGAGTAACTGGGTTTGTCATTAAATACAATATTAGGAACATGGACATATCTAGCGATTTTTATTCAAAAATATTTATCATGACAATGCAAAGTTATTTTAATATGTCCACATTCTGGATTGAAGAACATCTTGGTAAAACCCTCTCGCAGACTGGAAATTGGTGCTCCTGAAATGGAAGGGAATTTGATATATCTACACGTCCACGGAATCAGTTGAGAAACATACCATTGTGCTTGTTGATTGGCGCTGGGATGAAATAGCTCCAATAAATTAATCGATGGCTGTAGGATGGATATCTCTCTAATTTGATAGTATTCCATATAATGACTACCAAATTAGAGAGATAGATCCGTCCTACAGCCATCGATTAGAGCACACGAAACGGTGCAACGGTTTGAGGTGTATCGGTAGCTCAGTTTAGTGGAAAACCATTTGTATCTTCATCCGCTAGACTCCAACCTTCTCCTCTGATATGGCAAATCTCGAGCCACCTTCAACTTTAAATTCCAGGTTATGTCACGGCTCGGGATTTTGTTCGGCTGCCACCTAACTGCAGCTGTAAATCGTAGGTTTCTGGAGTTGCTGTATTGGAGTTTCAGCTTATTTATCAAGTAATTTGATTCACAAGGGCACTTTTAACTAAACATTTCAAAATACAGTGTAAACAGGACGCAAGGGGCGAAAATGAAGAGTTTTCAAGCTTGACAAAACACGATGAGTAAAATTTGTGAGGGATAACTCAAAAGTGAGTAAGTATTAATTTAAGACAACCAGAGTAAAAGTCAACGGCGCCGGTGGTGTAGTGATTACCTCTCACCCCAGCAGGCCTGGGTTCAATCCCAGTCGGCGCCGCCGGGATGTTCTGAGGCATAACATCTCTGATCACGCCTTCCTTCGGATGGGAAGTAAAGCCGTTGGTACCCGGTTCATGAGTTGATGGGTCGATAGGTAGGGTCCAGGTGTGGGAGCTGCCTTCCTGGCACGTCGGTAGCATTGGTGCTCAGCACGGAAAACAAGATCGACGGAAAAAACAAACCAAAGGAGTAAAAGTCACTTTTCATATATAATGTTACTCAGTTTTTGACATTTAGCATGAAAAAACGAAACTGAGTAGAAGTTACTCTATTTTGAGTAAAATAGAACGAGCGTGTACGTTCAGAATAGTGCAGTTTGAACTTGTGACAAGGCGAGTTTTGCGCAGTGAGTCAAACATCAGCGATAAACTCTAACAAACACTTCCCGAAAGTGTGTGATCGAGGTTTGTTCGAAGCAATTGTTCGCTGAAGCAATTTAAATATATATAATATATATAATTTTTGTTTTTACTACTGTTAAAACCGATTGACAGATTACAATTGGGTTATCGAAATGGGTTGGTATCAATAAATACAAAATTATCATTTTCATATTGGTTTTTTTTATTCTTTCTGGACGAAATAATTTATGTATAAAGCATTGATGGCCCGCATAGAAAATAATCATAACGAGTGCCTAACAACCTATTCGTGCTATAATCCCAAAAATACGTGGTATTGTAGAACGGTTTCTGGTGTCGTTCATGTATCGTGCTCGTTTATTAGGGGAGGGGGGGAGGTTGGCATTCATTCGTTTCTATCGAAATGGGTAAGGTTTACTCAGTTGAGAAATATCATCATCTGGATAACCGTTACCCAGTTTCGTCCATAGGAACGTTTATTGAAATTTGAGTGAAGGCGTGTTTACCCATTTTTGAGTAACTTCCCTTTTGGCTAGACTTAGTGGTTTTCGACTCAAAAATGAGTAGCCTCAAAATAGCGTGTGTGCAATTTCACTGGTTCTGATTCTGATCAATCACGGAGTAGCAACCATTCGATATGTGCATTCAGTTCACCTAAGCTGAACTAAAAAGGAATCCACATTATCTTTACAATCGAACGTCTTCTTACCAAACACAGATAACAGGTTCTTTAAAAAGGCGTTAGTGGTGATATTTTACTTAAATAAAACATGCACAGATTATTTCATATAATTAATAATATTAACATTTGTAATATCGCTTAACTATTTGCACACACCAAGTAGCGTCGATCAGTTTGTGTAAGTTTCCTTTGATTTACATTTGCGTTTGAGTACCGATTAATGTCCTTCTGCACCTGCTGTTTGTTGAACTCAGAGTAATCGGATCGGTTAAACTTTCTCTTAGGGTTTTGGTATTTATCTGATTTGTCTAATTTATCCCCTTACCTGCTTCATTTTCCGACTATGTGCACTTTCTACTCATTTTCGTTCTATTCTATACAGATTGTTATTTTTTTGCGATGCAATATCCAAATATCAAATTTTCTTGTTTTATCGTTTTTGATACGACCATATACAGTGCTAAATAATAGCAGCGAAGGCTAGATTACTTACAAATTAGTCAACTTTAACACTATGTAATTTTGTTCTGTTGTTATCAATTGACCTGAATTTTTGGCATGGCCTTTTTATGTCTAGGATACAGCATTTGCGTTATATCGATGTTTTACATAATAGTGAGCTCCTAGGTAAAATTGTACGAAATAATGATGAATTTAAATATTTTACTAGAATAGATGATATTTCTAGCAAACAACGGGAAAGTACAGGTACGAAAATTAACGAGTCAAAAACTGGTACTGTTAAGATAAATTTACCATTTCATATTTTAGCAAGTTTTTGAAACAAAAACATGTAGAACACAAAACAGTGTTAGTTTTTTTTTTCTCAAAATTTCAGCTCAATTGATAGTAACATTGTAAAGTACAATATTTAAAATGCTGGATAGTCTGTATAGGAATCAGCCAGCGATGCTGTTATTGTAAGCTGCGCTGTAGGGTTGAATTGTTTCAAATATAGTTAACTACTTAATTGGTAATTTTACAGTTAGCGTATTTGCAGGTTTTGTTTCTCTCTAAACCAGATTTAATGCGCTCTTAGTTTATTATCTTAGTATATCTTATAATCGTGATTTTCGAGATATGTGAAAGAAATAAAATATTCTACATTATATAAATTTCTTCACTGTTAAAATAAACGTGATTTTAGATTATCCGTACTATTCGAAATAATGTTACATCTTTATGGAATCTTCTTTTAACAGTTGTGGCTGATTCCTTTGTGTTTCGCGAATGTTCCTATGTAGTGTTTTATAGATACGCTTTGAAATGAACATAGATAAATTTTTCGTTTGTTTTCAATTATTTGACGGATTCACGCGATTCAATATGTGCGAAATTGTTTATGTTCATGATTCCACGTTGTTCTCGATGAACATAGATGATTGTATTTTCAACAACAATTTGTATTTATGAGATGCTATTTTATTTACTTTAGTAATGGTCCATTGTCCACATATTTTCACTTTTGCTAATATATTAAGGATTGAAATATAAAAGTTTGGTTAAGGGAATAAAGGTTGTCTGTTTGTTTCGGTGATTGATTTATAGTTTCTTTGAAATACGGATTTGAAATGTGTTTGTGTGAAACTTTTCCAAACATGTTTTGCCTAGTTCAAATGGTTCATTCCTTTAATGATTTGTATCGTTCCGTTTGAGCAAAGTGTGACTGTTAGTGATTCGTGTCACATATCTATGATATTTTTTTTTGAATAATTTGTCGGTTTGATGAATCAGCAAAAGAAATTAATATATTGAACGTATTTCTAAGCAACGTGATATTTTTTAAGCAGTGCAATCTAGGTACTACGGAACAAAAAATGACAAGACGATATTTTATTAGATGCCCTTTTTGTAGCAATTGAAGCCATACATCAATAGGTGGGAGACGAGTTTTAAATGCTAATTTATTCGACTATAAGACATAATAATATTTGTGTAGAATCAGTGAACAAATTAACTTTTTTAAAGGCTTTTAATTTAGTCTCGTGATATGATACACCACCATCGAAGCTCGTTGCAAACTTTTTGGATTGGAAAACCCAATAACCATCAATTACCGGTGTAGGTACACCACTTATGGCTATACGTTTCTATTATGGTGTGTTTCAATTATTACCTATGGAATTCCTATAAGCTATAATTGAAATAAACTATCATAAGAACAATTACTGGTACACATATCCTAGCTGAAATGAATTAACATCAACGCACTTGAGCAGAGTGTGTGAAGTTTTCCTTATCTTGATTAAAAAAATATGGAGTTTTTTTTTATTAGGTCTAGAGTCTTTGTATAATAGTCCCGTCAAGAGAAAAACGGTGGAGCTCGCATTATGGTTTTCAGAAGATTTCCTTCGCTTTCTCTTGGCAACAGAGGACTTCTGCATCAACTTCAAATTACTTTTAGTGAGAAAACGAATTAGAGGCAGAAGTAAATCATTATATCAGTGAAATTGTCAAATTATCTTAAAAACAAATATTACAGATTCTCATTACTGATCATTACCCATTGTATCCCATGCCAATTTAAAGCTCACTGCGTGATTATGATTATTTATTCGAATACAGTTTATATTTTATTGCAATAACTTTCGTGGAGCTTTCATAGCATCGTAATGTTTGTTTGCTTTTCACGATAGGTAGCCGGTTTGACAGTTCAATAGACTTGGCTTCACTCCTGGCGTGACTCATTAAACACCAACTCTAATTAAGACGATGATTAGTTAATCTTTTCTCTTTATCAAAGCTTAAATGTGTAATAAAGCAGTTCCACATGAAACTTGCCAGTAGAAGTTAAAATCTTGCCAAATTCCTCCAAATTCATTGAAAGTTGGATAGGATGATTAGCTTTCAAAAAGTAGGTAGGCCATTTTGACTCCAATGTTATTTTGACGTAGGACTACGTCTTTGATTTCTATATGGGGATACACTTTGTGAAAACCGAAAATGGAACATGTAACAAAATTATGAAAGATTTTGAACGTTAATAACTCAGCTGCCCCTGGACCAATTTCAATAATTTTATCACCAATCGATCAGAAATATTCCTACGCATCTGCTTGATTCAAGGCTTTATCATTTTTTAAAACGTCACTATGGAAAAATTCACGGATGTGCAACTGTTGCTATGATAATTAAAATTATCACCGATTACCTGCGAAAAGCGATTTCCCTAACACAGATTTCAAAGTTGAATTCTATCCGGTCTCACCAAACGGTGTTTATTCAATAATCGCGTGGTGAGTGGTGGTGTTCTCCGGTACACAACGAAAGGTTCCCCGCAAGCTGCTTGCGATCAAGGCGGACCTCAACCGCTGATCGGATTCAGTTCGAATTATCGTGTGTGGTGATATCCGGTCGTCGGCATCAGCAGCAGCAGTGCTTTCGGCACGTGGCGTTGTTCTCCAGTAGACAACGAAAAGCTGCCTGCATGCAGCGAGCTGCAGCCCACATGAGCATCCATATAAGGAAGAGGAAGCCGCACCGCTATTGCTCGGAATTAGTAGCTCTTCGTGAGTTTCTGTGGGCCATCTATGCCAAGCGCGTCATACTAAAGAGTATAAACAGAGAGAACCCCGCTCAAATTACTATTCCTACACAAAATACAAGCTCCTGCTGCAGTTAAAAAATAAGATCTATTATATAAGACCACGTAGTCCTACGTCCCTTTTAGTTTTTTTTTTTTAAAGCGTATATCCATAATTGATAATAACTTCAGCTCAATAGTCATTGATTTTGGCGTGTGATAACAAATTGTATGAAATCTATTTTACAAATTACAAAAATCATTCATTAAAAAATAAATGTCCCATTAAGAAATTATAACAAAACTCAAGGATTTGAGAGATTTTCAATAGATTTACGATGAAGAGAAAACATCCAGTTTATTAATTTTATTTTAGAAATCAACATGATTTACCGAAAGTTTATTTTAATTATCATCCAAATTAGAGAAACTCGTATCTGGCCCATTACCAATATGGCGTGGATCTGTTCAATGGTAATCTTAAGGTAAACAAATTAATGAAAACTTAACGTTGATATTGAAAATATGATCACATTACAAAGTTCCTCCAATTGCAAAAAAAAAAAATCCTTGTCAAATATTGATTGTATATTCTCAATAACCTCACACTTAGAAGTAAGACCTCAGATTTCGATAAAATATTTCGACGTTTACGGCTCCAAGGACTAACTTTTACCGTTTGTTAAGGACTATAAATGTATGACCCACTTAAGAGGGTACTGTCATACTTGTCCAATCCTATAGTGAGACAATTTGCTGTCCCTTCCGTAGTCAGTTCCGAGTCTATATATAGCCAAGGAAATGCTCAAATACATTTATTGGGAGTACAGCATTGGAATTATCTCATCGGGCACTATCAAAGCAACATACGCACTTGAGGGAATAAAACGACCAAAACAAACCACAATGACAAAAACTAATTTTGATTTAATCATAGAATTGGTAACAACACTTGAGGAATTTCGGAGTTAGCGAATGGTATCTTCCCCTTCGTTGATCTCGCAAACGATATCGAAGGGGTTTGACTATCGGCCGTGTACGCAAATCTGAAAAGGCCTCGGTGTTATGGGAGCGTGATGTTCTGGCATATTTCAACGTTCCTGCAAATTCTGTATACAGATCCCTATAGGGAAGGAAACCAATTTAATGACCGCTGATTCTACCTCGACTTGGATCGTGAGAATAGGTCGGAGATATCGAACAATCATCCAAAGACGCAGTTCAAACAGTTCTACTAGCCATTCCATCCATACACTGAGAGCTCCGAGCTAGCTTCCAGAACATTGTTTGCTTTTGGTTTTTATATCACTCAAGATTTGAAGATGACAAAATGGTATGGCTGTCAGTTGCGTCGAATTATTTTCCCTGAAACGGCAATAACAACATTTCGAGCAATGTCATGTGCACTGTAACGGGGTCAGACGGGGCCTCCGTCGGTAAAGGTGCAGCTACAAAGCAAGACCATGCTGAAGGTGACTGGGTTCAAGGAAATTTTCGGGAAAATTTCTCGACTTCCTTGGGAATATATAGTATTATTGTACTTGCCACATAATTATACTAATGCAAAAATGGTACAGGCATCGAAACCTCTCAATCAATAACTGTGAAAGTGCAACTACACACTTACTTTTTTCTACCGAGCTCGGCTGTGCAAATTTCGACAAAACAAGTTTTACTGGGATCTCAGCAAACATTTCTTATGTTTGCTGAGATTCAGCTAAGCATTATCCGAGGCTCAGTAATCAAATGTCACTTTTGACACAGTGAAACTTAGTTTTGCCGAGATTTGCACAGCCGAACTCGGTAGAAAAATCAAAGTGTGTAAAACACTAAATTGAGAGCACGCAATAAGCTAATATATGATAAGCAATAAGCTTGAATTACGAAGAATAAGAAGAAGCAGAAGAAGAAGTAGAAGACGGAGAATAATAAGAAGAAAAACTGTTTACTAGACCAAACACGTCAAGATCAAAATTGGATTTTGGAATTTCCAAAATGCATGGAATAGGTAGAGCATGGGCACTTGGTCTACCTGCAGTCACTTGCTTGGAAGAATTTACACTCGTTCAGCAATCTGTTTGTAGGTGAGGATGGCTATTTAGTTTCTGTGGTGCTCGCGCGATTGAATGCATTTTCCCATGCTTGTACAAGGGGAACAGGATTTTTCAGTAATCAAAGGAACACATCTTAGTTCTTGTTACGTTAACGACGAGTTGACCATCGATGATGATCTTGAAACAAGGAAAAATGCTTTTACTTGAGCAATGATGATGACAGAATATATGGCAATGTCTAAATAACATTGTTTTGTTTTACATTTGAACAAGCAAAACATGGTGCAAGGTGGTTTGATCTAAGTTGATTTCCCATTGGATCGGATTAAACTAAGCAAACATAATTCTTGAACATTACTTTAGATACAGTTATATGCTGTTAAGTCACAGATAACCTTAAATGTGTTAATGTGAATATTATAAATTAAACAACAGCCACTTCTTTGTTGTTAGGTACAATGATAGGCAATAGTTTAAATGAGGGAGCATAAAATCGCATGAAACATTATTTTGACAAATAACTAATGGTATTTTGAAGGTCTGCGTGTTTGCCAATTCATCCAGTGACTCAGAAAAATAAATAAAGAAAAAACAAAGCCAATGCTAAAAGGAACCCGATGGCATGATGAAGTTATGCAGAGATATTCTCATTATTTCAAGTTTGATGATCTGTATTTTTTTCAGTCTATTTTATTAATTGGCTTATACCATAATGAAGATAAAAATAACTATTTTCGACCCTTTCAAATTTGAGTGAACTTTGTTTATATCTGTATGGCTACCTATGATGACATTTTCCATTAAAAAATGGGCTGAATTTTAATTAAAAAATCATAACTTGAAAACAGTATATTTGATAAAATTGACGTCTGACAAAGTAATGAAGTTATAGACATGGTCTAAGCGAAAAAATATACACTGATACGAAAATCACCGCAAAATAGTGTTTAAAACACTTTGCTTATTTTGTCAAAAGAACCGCCCATCAATTTTTGTTAGAAGAAAGCTGAAGTTGTACCCTCAAATAGTTTACTGAGATCATCTTTTCTCAAGTTATTGTGAATTTTTTAAAAAAGGGCATCAAGGGCTGTTCAAAAATTTGTCATGATTTTTCTGGAAACAAATAAGTCAAATTCTTTACACCCGTTAGTGTCATTTGGAATCTGAGAGGGTACTGCCAACCACTAATTCACATTAGCTTGAGAACATATGAACTAAGGGAAAATGTTGCCCCGTAACGTGCGTAGATCACCTTTTCGTGGTACGTTACGGGATGTAAGATCTACCACCGAATCTTAGTCTTGACTACTTCAAACTAGGGGTACAGGATTTTTCAGCAATAAAAGGAACACATCTTAGTCCTTGTTCCTTTTTATGCCTTGTTGATAGTGATAAGTCCTCGGGTTGCCTGTACCGAGGATGATCTTGAAACAAGGAAAAAATGAGTTAGTTAGTCTTCATCTATGTGATTCCTAATCTTCTATTCATTGTTCTCTAGTTTGAAGTGGTTGAGACTAGGGTTCTGATGCATGGTCATTATCGGTGTCATTGCTTATTTTTATTGCTAAGGAATCCCATTTCGAATGACAAAGGGGTGCGCCTTTGGAGGGTATTCAAACACTCCGAAGGGTATAAATAGCGGGACCTTTCATTTAGAATCGATTCCTTGCGATGAAGGCAAGAATGACAACTGTATCAACACCGAATACTTCATCATTTCTCAATAGTGATGGAGTAATACGACATGCACTAAACTAAGGACACGGGCTATACTACAATAGATCAAATTACTGGTCGCAGTAGTGTTATGTCCCGAACAAAGGAAAAAAAAAGGGAAAATGTTGATATAAGTTGGTTCATTAAAAATGATGCATAGAATCCATTTTTAGTATAATTTTATTTTAAAAACGTATACAAGAAGAAAAAGTAAAAAAAAAAACATTTCTGAGCATTTTATCTAGCACTGTACGTCAAATTTGAGGGCATGACTTCAGGGATTTTCACAAAAATAATTTTAAAATTCGTAGGAGGAAATTATCAATTTTACTTTCCAACAAAAGTTGACAAGGATTTTTCGTTTGTACGTTCAGACTACAGAGTTATAACATGTTATAGCGCTATCTTGATGGTGGTTTCTGTGTTGCAATTATTTGACAACCGTTATAACATGTTATAACTCTTCAGTCAGCGTTTTAATGTACTTTTTAGGATTGATGATACTATCCCACAACTTCTTTTAATACGTTCGATCGTAATAAACAGGTCGTTTTTTAAATATGTTTTTTTGAAAAAATAATAGCTCTTTTTAACTTAAGCTTTTCAAAACAATTAGTTCAAAACAATTAATAGAAAAATTTTATCAGCAACACACATATCAGGTAGCAATAGACAATGTGGAAAATTTCATTCAAATCGAATAAAGTCTTGTTCAATCGATTTGCTATTTGGCGTGAACATGCTCTGCACAGTCATCGCGCATTTAGCTCAGAATGTTTGCTCCATAAAAGACTTTTTGATCAGAAGAAAAGCAGCTTCCGTTTCAATAAATAGCATAGCAAAGAATCAGTTCAATTCATCCTTCGTACCATCGAAGTTATTGATGGCAACTGGTTCTTGGGCATTTCAGTTGTACGTGGCATAAATATGGGAATTATAGTGTTTTGTATCATTCTCCCAGTTCTAGTAACCAGCGTTTTGTTGAAGTTTTAGAGAACTGACTCGAGACATTCCTTGATTCTAGTAAATTAAATATATTAGCTGGTAATTTTAATATTTATTGGCTTGGTAACTATAATTCAAATCATTTGAAGCGTTTAGCTGTTTTTCCACAGTAGAACTTTAATTGACCACGTTTATTCAAATTTGGATTCCATTTGTTCAGGTACGAATATGATTTGAAAATAACGGATCATGAGACCTTAGTGATTAAAGCAGTAGATAATATTAATAATAACGATGAATTAGTAAAATTGAAGCGCTGGAGGAAATATTCAAAACAGGCTGTTTCGAATCTTGTTGAGAGGAGCGTGGATTTTTCATTCGCGGCCGGTAACTTAGATGAATCTACAGCTGTTCTTAAAAACGCTTTGAAACGTATACCAATCAACTAAAGTTTGTTTTTTTCAAAAAACTCGAACAACTCGTACAATTTGGATCTTTTGCGTCTTAAACGGAAAAGGGACAAATGGTACAAAAAGTAGTTGTATGTTTGAAGGTTTCCACCCAATTACATTAGATGAACTTAGAGTTATTTGTTTTGCATTAGGAAAATCGGCTAGAGTAGACAATGTTCATGCTAAAGTTATTCAAGATTGCTTTCATGTCATTGAACACATCTAGCTGGACCTTATTAATGAATCATTGCAAACTGGACATGTGCCACAAATTTGGAAGGAATCCCTAGTGGTTCCTATTCAAAAAGTTGCTGGAACGATTAAAGCCGAAGAGTTTCGTCCCATCAACATGTTGCACACATTAGAGAAAATGTTGGAGTATTTAAATAGTAATAGTTTGTTGATACCAGAGCAATCGGGATATAGGGAAGGTCATTCTGGTGAAACTGCTTTGAATTTGGTATAAACGAAGTGGAACAATAACTTCGAGTGTAAAGATACGATTGTTGCTGTTTTTTGGATCTTAGACGGGCTTTTGAAACAATTTCTAAGCCTTTATTGTCAAGATTAATCAAGCGCTTTGGAATTACGAGTGCTGCATATAAATGGTTTGAAAGCTATTTGTCTGACAGAACTCAACGGACTGTTTGTAATGATTATGTTTCCAGTCCCGTAGGGAATAACGTTGGAGTGCCACAGGAAAGTGTATTAGGGCCCCTGTTATTTATTATGTATATTAATGACTTGCGACGTGTTTTCCGATTTTGCGACATTAATCTTTTTGCAGATGATACTGTGTTATTCATTACAGCTAGGAATTTAGATAATGCCGGGAGATTAAATAGCTTGGTGTGATTTTTTAAGACAAACTTAAGTTCAACTCTCCCATTCAATAAACACTCACTCGACACTAGTCAACGCATCAACCGACTTTCACTGACAGAACGTTCACCAGTAATGGTCACTCACAGGCAAAACGTAACACTCGCTGCTGATGATGTAAAACACATCGAAAACAGTGAAGACTTCTGCAGAACGATGATGAGAAAAAGCGAAACGACAGAAGAAAATGAAAACAATGCCTACGAATTCCAAGTTCGTCTCGGCACGCGCGACTGTGTGAGTTACAAACAAAGCTGGCAAAATTAAACGGAAGCTGTTGGGCTCACTCACCAACACACTCACATAAGCAAACAAAGCAGCAACTGGTTCAAAACGAGCACAGATGAGTGTCGTGATTGTCGGGAATGACCATATCGGTGATAGATCACCATCGAAGACGACATTCACCAGTTGCTTTTTACTTCTTTCGTCAACTTGATGGATGGTCGTGGAGAGTACTTCGATAAGCACATTGCATTGATAGGAATGTACTAAGCGTTACTACCAACAGCTGTTTGACGATCGTGATTGTGATAGGTCACAACTCTGATTAAGACTGGTAAGTTACTGTAGTAGCTGGAGCACCTAGATTAAAATTAAATTAAATTTAGTTTGAATTTGGAACAAAAAAAGATCAAAAAATAAATAATATGTCTTAGTTCTTTGGGGCAACGAGAGGCAAACTAGGACCCATACATTCGAAAAGTAGAAATGATTTTCCATAGAATCTATAGCATGTGACCTTTTCGATCTGTTTCAGTATGTTGTACAGAATTCATTTACAAAAAAATATTGGTATTTCACACCACTGAACATATATAATGATTTTTTTTTTCATAGTTTAGAGCAGCCTTTAGTACAAGTTTGGGAATAATAGTTTTTACTCTCCTTCAAAATGAATGCTTTTGTGATCAAATTGGGTTGTGAGCCTTAAATTGCCCTCAAAAACAGCTGACTTAGTAATGTTCAAAGTGTTGTCAAAAATGGAAATATTATGCAATAATCATGAAATTTTGATAAAACGTTATTCAATGTGTGAGAAACCTAACAAAAATATAAAATATCAAAAATAAAAACCTTATTTTTAGAGGTTTTGTATGAGCTTCGACTACTGTGTTTGTCTTTGAAATTTGTGTCCTGGAAAAAATGCTCATTTATGCAATTGTGAAGTGAGTTATGATTTATATCGATATGATTTTTCAATTAAGATTTCAAGCAAATACTCTAGAAAGCTCTCAATTAATAACCGGGGAAGTACTGCAAGAGACAATAAGTTGAGAGCAGGTGAAAGCTGGCATAAGAGCGTCAAAGTCAGGAAGAGGAGAAGTAGATCCTCTCCACAACTTAAAAATATGTGCCATTATGCTTCACGCGTAAGATTTGCATTTGATCATTGAATCAATGCATCATGATTGTATGTAAATTATTTGAAAGCTCGTACATGTGTTTATATATTGTACAAAGTTTCTAATGACTAACTGTTGACATCGGCAAGCTGGATTTTGCCAATAAATAAGATTCTAGTTGACAAACCATGCTGGGGGATATAAAATGTCTAAAATCATTTCTCGTAAACAGATTTATACCGCTTTGCGAAGAAGCCCGTCACATTACGCACATTAGTCAGGGTCAGAAGAGGGTAGCAAAAGGCTTTCCTGCATCAGCGTGTTGGAGAACGACATCGGCTTTGTGCAGTCCGCATTAGCATCGTTTCGGAGTTCGTAGGAGTAACCCTATTTCCTTTATACAAGGTATGGGCCAAAGGGCGTATTGGTGTTAGTGAAATGTGCAAATGTGTAGTGGTTTTCGGAATTCATTACAATGTTTATCTTTTTACACGAAACAGCTGTTGGCAGTGACGGCACCAGCAAACTGCCTGTTGGCCCAGACTTATATAAACGTCATTGGGAGTAACGTGTAGTACCCATGGTACCAGTCGCCATCATCGAGCAACCGCCACTTCCTCCACGCAAGTAGTGAGTCAACATGCATGTTCACTGAATTCCCATGTGCATGGTGAGTTAAAGCCATTAGCATAGCATAACCGCTGGCGTGGCAGCTGTTCATTCAGCCGTTACCCTTTCCGATCTGTGCAAGCACCGGTAACGCCAAACAGGTTGTTTGTAGCACACACAAAATAAACACCATTCGTCGCACAGCACACTACATGAATTACTACCAGAAGAGAGAAGAAGAAGATATGCATTTGAGATAGGTAGGCCTAGAATTAGAAATATCGATAAATTAGGAATACAGAAATAAACTACGATGAATATGCTTGAAGTAGTTTGAACTGAATATAATGCGTTTTCAATAAACCAATACACTAGCGTTCAAAAGATTTTTTAAATTATTTCTCGAAGGAATCTAGAAAGGTGAATGTAAGGATTTTCACGTTCCCGGTCGTTTTTTTTTTTAGATTTTTGCCGTATTTTACTGAGGGAGTTGGCCCTGAAACCAACCAGGATATCTCTCTATTCGAACGGCACCCGTTCGAAGTGTTTTTGGCAAATCTGTCCGTGATGATAAAATCCGCGAGAGCAACTTATCTTTAGCAGAAATCGTTTTTGTGACTGCTAAATTAATTTCTTTGATTTTCACAATCAATGGTCCTGGGCATTGCTGTAATTTTTTACAGCCAACTTGCTTCCCGCCCATTCACTTGGGAAAAATACAGGACCTTCCATGAAAGGTCTCATTCAATCGGGCAATCCTAGTCTCGATAGATGGACTCCCTCGGTGGCACTTAAGCGTTTTTTTTCTAAAACGGGAAACTCGTTAGGTGGTCGGGTTACAAGCCTGAAAGTGGAGGTTTTGGTTTTCCACAGTGAGTTGATTTTTTTTTATTCAATGAAAAATGTATGCACTTAAATTAAATTGTATACTTCCACATAAAAGCACATGTGATTTTAAAATTCAATGTTTATAAACCGATTTGGATTGGAGTATTTAAATGTTTAGTTTAATGTATTTGAAATATGTAGTTGAAGATGCTAAGCGTCAAATAACAGACTTAAAGTGGCAATTTTATACGATAGATCAGTAGATGGAAGTATAGAGTTGATAGTTCCGTTAGAGTACGGCAGTGTGAAAATGCACATAGAGAGTAAAAAGCGAGCAAGGATAACTTTAAGAAAGGTATGAATAGGGTTGATTATCTCTCTTTATGAATGTAATATGTTGAAATTTTTGTTTACAAATACATCAATATGTGACGTGTGCAATTCAGAGTTTTTGAAGTGTAGCTTTACGTTGCTATTAAAGTGTAATTAGCCCAGTAGCACCTGGTATATTAGACTTTCCTTAAGGCGTTATTGGCATTCAGATCTACCACCGGAGCCTAGTTCAAACTACTTCAAACTAGGGAAATAGGATTGTTTTGTAATCAAAGGAACACTGTTTACTGTTTATGCCTTGTTGATAGTGACAATAGAAGGCTTTGGTGGACACCGAGGATCATCTTGAAACAAGGAAAAAATAGTTAGGTAGTTATTTGTTATCTACATGATTCCTAAAATTTATTTTCTGTTTTCTAGTTTGAAGTGGTTAAGACTAAGATTCTGCTTAATCCATGGTCATTATTGGTGTTATTGCTTGATTTTGTTGTGAAGGAGTCCGTTTTTGACTGACAAAGGGGTACACCTGTGAGCGTGTTCCAACACTCCGAAGGGTATAAAGAGTGGGACCTTTCAATTAGAGTCAGATGCTTGCGATAAAGGCAAGAATGACAACTGTATCAAAACCGAATACTTCATCATTTCTCAATAGTGATGGAGTAATACGACATGCACTAAACTTAGGACACAGGGTATACCAGAATAGATCAAATAACCGACCGCATTGGATTTATGTCCCGAATAGAGAGAAAAATAAGTGTAATTATAGTATGGCATAACTGATTTCCAAATTCTCACAGCTAAATAGGATCGTATAATCATGCTTTTTCGAACTGTAGCGTTGCAAGTACAACCAATCCATTTCTAGTAAGATACATATACAGTCAATCAATGCCGTTAATTAATCATACTTACAGCTGCGTAGCTGTGCTTCTCCCGAAAGACTTTGAATTCAACTACTGGAATTCTGCCGTGATAATAGTTTGATTTAATTTACTTACTGTTATACTGCCGTTATACGCATAAGAGTCCCACGGTGCATAAGGATTGCATAGAAAATGGGACAGTTATGCGTATAACGGCAGTATAGCTCCTTCAAATGGTTAGAATTTATGACACTTGCAGAAAACTCAGTGTGCAAGCAAACATATATGTATGCCTGATTTCGTTAGTTAAAATTGAAACTTGGATGATTCGCCCCAACTCCTACTAGACTTAGAATGAGGTGAATTTTGTTACAAACAATGAACAATGAATTATCGGCTCAGTAAAGCTAACGCGATTGAGCCTTCCAAATAAACTTACTAGATAAAAAAATGTGCTTGGTATAATAGAAAACACGTTAAACAATCTATTATTCAAATGAAGTATGTTTATTATTAAAATGCTTTAATATGAACCTAAAGTTTTATCGGTGCCATAATTCAACGAAGGTTGAAAAATAAACCATTACAATGCTTTTGCTGTAAATAATCACTTATTTCCATTCTGAGTGAGGTTGGCTAACTTTTATTATCGATCATTTAAGGAAGTTCTAGCAAATGATTGTTCAGAATTAAACTGATTCCATCCCATGTCATCACCCGCTGCAAATAGGATAAGTTTTCGAGGATAGTACCGCTTGAAACATACTACCATCGTTGATTTAAAGTAAACAGAAATAAAATCGATGGGCAGTATTGTGTACACCTGTTATAGCTGCGTATTATTGTGAAACTTTCACGGTTCTCAGCGGTCTGCTGCTGTATATAAGGAATTGCTCGGTTTATGTTTTTATATGTATATATACAACGCAAAATAGCCACCGGTTTCCAAGTGCATACTTTAATATATTAAATACTTCGGATACATCGTCGTTTTGTTTCGTTTGGTCGATCTAGATTATCATTTGTTCCGTCGAGAAGGGAATATGCTTCTTCTGTATTTTTATTTATTAATACAGTCTTATGATAAGAAGCTGGACACAGGTAGTAAGTCTTATTAAATAATTATTTCATTTATCTTTATGTTTTCTCACTAAATTCATCGTAGTAAGGTACTGAACATATTTTCCGTGTTAGATAAATATGGAGTGATTGAATTCAAATAAAGATTCTATTTATAGTATTTTGTGCTCTTTTTTTTTTGTTAATTATAACAGTTTGTGATTTAATATAACTACTATTTTGGATCTGTAAAAACTGATTTCTACTACAGATTTAATTCTGTATAATGAAGCAAATAAATTATTTTAAATCAGGTAACAACAAGAGTCTTAACAAAATAACTTCTTGAACGACGTATTGTAATAGTTTCTCCACGCTGCCTTCATAAGTTTTGATAATTTGTGTTTTAAATATAGGTATTTACTTTTTATTTCTTTTGTTCGCGTATGGTTCGCTTTTAAAATATTGCGTTGCTAATATCAATATCATATCGGTAAGTTCAATCCAGCTGTGATGGTAGTAGGTTTCTTGTCCCTTCACTAAACTATGCTCATTAGACATAAATAATACACGTACATACATTCTCAGTTTTTTGTATTTGTGTGTGTTTTATTGATTGGTAACTTTTAAACGATAGACAGAAATGTGCTCAAGATTGAGAGAGTTAAATTTTCTTGTATTTTACGCACATAGAAACGTGAAGAGAGTGTGTTTTTTCTGTTCGTCGTAAACATTTCTTATAGTGGATTTGGATTAGGAACTGGCGTGCAATTTCCAAGCAGATCGTGAGCGTTGATAGTGTAAAATACAAAAACATTCTATTTGACTAGCAAGAAAATACAGGTTTTGTGGAAAGATGCGAAGGTTTTGGTAAGATATGGAAAGAAAAATACTTAACATCAAGTTCATTGTGTGAAAGTGTGATCGCGGTTGTATTGAATATAATACAATACTGTTCGTTCTCTATTTGACAATAGCAGAAAGACCCTGCGATTTGCGCGTTTTGTCGTTCGGAAACGGCAATCGGCATGCTTTCTATCCATCACCAAATGACGATTATTATTTTACACAGGGCTTCACTAGATTATTGTCTATATTTTGTCTTTACTTTTCTTCAAGATTTCGCGAGTTATGTGTATGCTACGAATTCATTCGCTTTTCCACCTGTAGTGCGAGCATTGTGTCGCTTGATAGTTTTTTTTCACAGTGGTACTCTATAAAGATGGGAATCAACAGAACTGAGTTCTGAGAAAGCGTGAGTTGATAAACATGATAGTTACTGCGCTAATCAATGTTCAGTGTTTACGTTAGAGTGTATGAGAAGTCAAATTATTTTGTATTACTGATTAAACTTAAAAACAATGTTCATAAAAGTGATCCCATATCTTTTTTTGAATTGATCTGATGAAATAGGTTCACTTAACGTGGTATTCAAGTGGATCATATTCAAAAACGACCATTTCTAACAGGACGATCATTAGTAGCATGCAAAAATAGAAAAATATATACGTTACCTGCATGTATACCTCATACAATAAATATATATATTAATAAAGGATAATTCAATGACTATCTCGAATTCTCATGCGCTGTTTAAGTACGTTGTGATTAGCTTTACTGACTACGTAAATATCACTTTTTCTGTAATTTATCTATCTCATTTACTTAGTTTTATCAATATGGCAGCATTGTTTGTATTAGTTTGTATTTTTCAACAATTACCTCGCTAAATCGAAACGTTCTTACAATTTTTACAGATGATATATTGCTTATGAACAAGATGTTGATCGGTCTTATTTACGATTCGTGCAATGAGAAAGTAGCCGTTGTTGAATTGAATCCACTGGAACAATACGTGTTTATAGTAAATAAGCTAAGAATTCAAGATAATCATACAAATTCAAGGACTTAACTCAAAAAGAAAAATGAATACTTGGATAAGTGACAAAGGAGAGATCTGGTGATTTTCATTTTGACCAAACCGCTAAAAAACCAGCGTTATGTTGCTTAGAAGAAGCTTTTCAGGAAACCGGCTGGCCCAGCGTCTTGAGGCTGTGATTGTGCTGTCTTCAGTTTAGCTTGAGCATTCTTTAAAGCTCTGAAAAAAGTAACAAAGGAGTTTGCATTAAAAGAAAATTAAAACAAAATCATTTAGAAATCTTACTGTTGTAGATCCATAATAGTTTTTTCTTTCTGGTTTTGTTCTTCCTGTGTCATCTGTACCAACTGGAGTAAACGTTCCGTTTCGGCAGCAGATCGGCTAGCCTCTTCTTTGGTGTCGTTCAATTCTTTGGAAATCCTATTCAAGCAAATACCATCAAACGATAATATTTCAGTGGTGTTCAGTTGTTTACTTACTTGTCCAATTGTTGTTGAGTTTCTGTTAACTGTTTGTTCAATTCTCCGGCCGCTGCAGCTGTTCCACCAGCCTAAAAAATATATAAAACATATAAAGTCGCTTAATTTCTTATTCTTATTGAGGTTATATGTGATAAATAGAATTTTATTTTTGATATTTTGTTTAAGGTACACCGGCGCAAGTGGGAGCTAAACATTTGGAAGTACAGCATTTTGTGTCATCTTCAATAATCATTGTTCTGTTGGTATCTCTGCACATAAAAAAACAAAATATTCAAATTTAAAAACTTCTGAAAATAATGTTCAAAAACCACGTTATAGGTTTCACTTTCTCCGTTCGCGGTGTAGAATCCATTGTGGATATTGACAATGCTTCGCATACGGACAATAGGACTGTTCAAGTTATATAATGGACACACACTTTCAGTGCCAACTGAAGCATGTGCTCTAAAATGCAATTTTTATTACTTGAATTAATACTTGACCACCAGAATACAGTTTGCAACTGTGTTAAACCAGATATATTTTATTCCGGTGCTAGTAATTTAGTAGAACAAACTGTTTGTACGATTTTGCGTATTTTTATCATGTTTCGTCCCACACTTACAATTTTGGAAAATTGACAATAGTATCTCAGAAATGCTGATTCTTCCTAATAACGTAATTATAAGCTATTCAGGGACAGTTTTCATTAAATTTGAATTGATGTACACATTTGAATCCCATAACATAAATTTCGATCTGACTTTGATGATTAATTCTGAAGTTGTGCATTTCATTATCATTCATTTAAGCGCATTTTTTTGATTGAATCATCATCAATACATATCCCCAATAAACCGTATTGATACAATGGAAGATGAAAAAGTTAAAAACACTTCTTGATGTCCGTTTCATAGCTTGAACAGTCCTTAGTTATTGTGTGAATTATGCGAACTGAGTCAAAGTTAGCACTATATGTGGAGAGGTAGTTGACCCAAGTTACTTTAGGCACATTATTTAACGTTTTTGGCTATATATGAGCCTGATAAGAACTTAAAAACACTGGTATAGCCGTTGTTCAGCTGTATATAGTGAAAAAGGTGACAAATTGTTACTTGGGTAAAGATAGCCTTACCAATACATCAAATTAATCATCGCGTCCTTAATAATAAATCAAAGTGATATCAAAGAGACGTATCTGACTCAACCACTGAGTTACTCTCATTGGCTGTGTGTTTTCATGAATTTTTTACACATAGTTCTTTTTGGAATTCCTCTAAAATAAACTTGAGATTCTCTCTGTGATACCCTTAAAAATTTACTTTATACAGGTCTAGACATTCTATGCAGAACACTCTTAACAAAAATCGTGGAATTGTTTCTAAGATGTACTTCGAATTTACTTTCATAGTTCTATTTAAAATTTGTTGGATCTATCAAAAGGATTTTCATGCAATTCACCTAAAAATCTAATGAAATTCTTCTCAGAAGTATTCTTCTCGAAATGTTCTTGAAACTATCGGTAACAACCAAATGATACTGACGAACTATATATTTTTTCAAAAGAAATAATAGGTTTGACGGAAACGCCCAATGAACATTATAATACTCTTAATTTTTTTTAAACTACTATACATAAAATACACACGAGTTCAAATCTCAGCCCGGACAAGTCACGAATGACGCAAGAACGTCAGAGGAATCATAACCTAAAAAAAATAAAACTATTCTAAAGCTCATATTTTGAAAAAAAAATGAGTACTTCCCCACGCAAAATTAAAAAAAAAAATGAATACCTCGTTTCTAACGTGTAAATCCATGTTGCAAAAGGATTACTATGTTAACCCTACAAATGAGTAAATGTTACCCGCAATAGAGAAAAAAATGTGGGTAGCCATGCAGTACACGCTAAAAACTAGGTACTGAAGTTTGGTATTTTGATTGGAAAAGTATCCTTCGTTCTAAGTGCACACACGTTTCCCGAAAATGAATAATTGTTACCCACATTCGTCAGCGTTCCCCCGAAAAACTTGATTTTGAGTTGCTCGAGTTAGTTGTGTACAGTTGAGAAACAGTTGCGCATTTGTGCACTAAAAATTGAATGTGGGTAACAAGTAAATAATTGTACCCAGCCATTAAGTATGTGCACCCCCACAATTTCTGGCGCGTTGAATAGGACACAAAAATCATGGCTACTATGTCACACTGCAAAAATTACAGTGTTGCCTACAGAGCAGCTGCTTGATCATGTCATAAGTTTACCAATCTCTTAAATAATTAATAACTTTTTTCTGTCTCGTTTTACATAGAAACGGTTTTCAGCAAAGTTGTGGCTGAGAAATTTTTTTATAAGAATGGTTATCGAGCTGTTTCGCAGCTCAATATGGAAAAAGACTAGAAGGCAATGAACAAAAAGTTAAGATTTCCCATAATAATTTACATGTTAACTTCAAATGGCTTGTGCGAAGTCTGTTTATAACCAAATGGGCTGAGGAAATGTGGGTAACAGGTTCTCGTTTTTGCGTAATTAATTTATGAAATTATTTGAATATATGTACATTATAAGAGAAATAGGTCATTCCTCGCCGATAGCTTGAAGTAGCCGGACGTAGTTTGTTCGTGTCTCCGTTGCGGGTATTGGTTTCGTAGCCGGTGGAGTTTTTTTTCCCACCATAGTGGTTTTTTATATCGCGCGTTATTCCTACCGTGGACGAAGTTCAGTGCCCAAGGCAACCGCAGTCAGCAGAGGAAGTAGCCACCTTTAGCGACGCTATAGGTGGACTATCATCTCACCGTCATCGTCTCATCACCACTCCAAAGCAGCAAGCAACAACAACAAAGCAGCAAACGGAGTGGCTGCACCAGCTCACACAGCCGGCACCGGCCGGTGTTAAGTATACTATACAATAGTCTTCTCTAGCCCATTGCCGCGCTTTTGTTATAAAATTTTGCGCGTGGCTTTGCCCTCTCCCCTGATAGGGTTGTGAGGGCTATAGTGGTGCAACTTCTTGCAACTAGTGAAAAGTTTTTTTTTTTTTTTTTTTGATAATTTTGTTTTTGTTTTGCTTGGTTGTTTATACACTGGGCAACAAAATATTAACATCTAGTAGTTAAGTAGTTTAATTGGTGAAGGGTTTTTTTTTTTTAGTTTTTTTTTTTTTTTCTTTCCTTTTTAAGCGGTTGTGCACCGCTTTTGCGCAACACTCATGGAGTCTTCGGATACCTACGTTGCGCGAACTAGATACTACCAACCGTCTTCGAAAGGACCATGGGTTGTCTTTTTTCGGCCTAAAAATAAACCTTTGAAAACTCTCGACATTTCGAGAGATTTGCTGCGGAAGTATCCGGGAATCTTGGTACATAAGGAGAGATTCAATAAACTGCGTGTAGAAGCACCGACTTATGATGTGGCAAATAAAATTGCTGAACATGAGCTGTTTAGTGTTGAGTACAACATCTACATCCCTTCTCGAGATGTGGAGATAGAAGGTGTGGTCTCCGACGCGAGTCTGAGTGTCGAGGATTTAAAACGAGCATCGGGTTGCTTCAAAAACTCGAAAATCGGTCAGCAGGTACAGATACTGGATGTTAGGCAACTGCATTCAGTATCTTTGCAAGATGGCAAGAAAGTTTATCAGCATTCAGACTCGTTTCGGGTGACTTTCGCTGGTTCAGTTCTCCCAAACTTTGTCAAAGTTGATGGTGCTTTTTTTCCGGTGCGGTTGTTTGTACAGAGGGTATATAATTGTACCAACTGCAAAAGGCTGGGACACTCAGCCAGCCATTGCGGCAACAAAACTCGTTGTGGCAAATGTGGTGAAAACCACAAAGAGGATTCTTGCCACAAAGAATCAGTAAAATGCGCTTATTGTGGCGAGAATCCTCACCCCTTGCAGGAGTGCCCGATGTACAAGCAGCACTCCGATAAAGTGCAGCGTTCAATCTCTGGACGCTCCAAGCAGTCATATGCACAAATGGTGAAGGCTGCATCAGCCGTCCAAGATGAAAATCAATTTTCGATTTTGTCAGCTGAAGAATCGGACTCTGACTCATCCGATGAGGGTGACTCTACGGTGGTACACGCACCTTTGAAAACGAACGGATCCTCAAAACGAAAATGCTCCTCCCCGAAAGTGCGCCGTAAGAAAACTAAAGTCACTCCCAGAGGATTGCAAAATTCCCAGGGTAATGGGGATGAAAAAATTAAATCGAAGGCTCCTACTGCTCCACTTCCTGGCTGCAGTAAGGATTTTCCGCCATTACCCAACAAAGAAAAGAAAAACAAAAAAGCTGCTCCTCAAACTTCTCAAAAGAAATCCAAGTCCGAACGCGGTTTGCTAGCTTTTTCGGACATTGTGGAATTCATATTAAATATGTTCAACATACAAGACCCTCTTAGAAGCTTAGTTTCTGCCTTGCTTCCAACATTAGAATCATATCTTAAGCAATTGACTGTTTCATGGCCCCTCCTTGCATCAATCATATCTTTCGATGGATAATTCGTCGAACGAGGTTGAAGATATGATCACTGTGCTACAGTGGAACTGCCGTAGTCTAGTGCCTAAACTAGACTCGTTCAAATTTTTACTTCACAATTCTGATTGTGATATATTTGCTCTCTGTGAAACATGGCTTTCTTCCGATAAAGAACTCAACTTCCACGATTTTAACATTATTCACCTGGATAGAGACGATTCTTATGGAGGAGTACTTTTAGGGATCAAAAAGTGCTACCCTTTCTACAAAATGTCAATTCCTGCTCTATCAGGCGTCGAAATCGTCGCTTGCCAAATAAATGTGAAGAACAAAAATCTTTGCATAGCTTCAGTTTATGTTCCACCAAGAACCTCCATTAGCCGTAGTCAACTCTGGAATCTTGTTTCGATTCTTCCATCTCCAGTATTAATTCTGGGTGATATGAACTCCCATGGTACTGGGTGGGGCGATCTATATGACGACAATAGAGCGGCTATTTTTTACGATTTATGCGACGATTTCAACTTGACTATTTTAAACACTGGTGAAGCGACACGTATAGCAAAACCTCCGGCTCGAGAAAGCCGACTCGACCTATCTTTGTGTTCAAGAT